TTGCCCAATATCTGAAAATGAATTACACCATTTTAATACCTATTCAAGTCAAGTTATTTTTTTGTTAAAACAGCTCTTTCTCTCAGATCAGTAAGGACCAACGAAATCATAATAGAGAAAGATGAAAATATTTATTATAGAGCTGGGAGTTATATTGCTGTCATGGAAATGTTATTATGATAAAATTTGTTTTAACAGGAATTATAATAAGTGCATATAGATTAAACGACAAGGAGACACATTGTCTGCTGCATAATTGCTCATATCTAATCGTTCTAAAGAAAAGTCAATGGCAACATTCAAGTTGCCTCGGAATCTTTCCGTTGGAGAGAATTTTTTTAAATGAATTACTAAAATACGGGGAAACTTATGGATTCATAGGGATTTTGTGCATTTTCATCTTTCCTTGCACCTTGAACACTTTGGTTTTTCATATCCATCCAGAGTTTCTTCTCTTGAGAAGGAATCCTAGGATTGTGACAAACTCAATTGGCCGGTTCTTTGTGGTATGGGGAGACAAATCCCAGAAAGGATCAAAGGTTACTGATGGATTTTAATTGACCAACGAAGTTACCTACAATCTTAGAGTTGTTCATGTTCAAATATCGCTGCCAGGAATCTTGCGCTTTTCGGCTGTAGCTCAATCTTTCATCAATCTCCGCTGAGATCGGTTTAGGTTTCTCGGTAATTCTATTAAGGTCCTCATGTATGTCTTCTAAAAGATATCGACATAATTCCTGGGCGTCTTGATGGGCAGAACCCATAAATTGAGGGACAAATATTTGAATCCGATTTTTAAAGTAAGCATGGTTTATCACTCTATCAGATGAATATTCTGACCACAATTCCTCAATAACTTCTGTGAATGCTTTGATTAAAGCACCTTTCATACTTCCATGCTTTCTGAAGTGATTTGTGATCCGTAGGCACATGACTTTTGATTTGGGAATACCAAATAGATTCGCATTCAACGGCTAAATTATCTATTATATTGGTGAAGGAGACTGGAAGTATCATTTCTATCGATTGCGAAACATTGTTGATGGAAGACATAAATACTGGTAAAGCCAGCGATAATGCTAAGCGCAGACCCAACACTCCACGATTCACAGGAAATGTTGCTTGCGACCAAGAAATATCAGTGAAATAGTTGTTGGTAACATTTTCAATTATGTCACGTAAGTGATTATCAAACTTCTTAAGGTATACTTGACTTTTCCAACAAGTAGAGCATCTTATAGGGTAATGTAAAACACCATTTTGTAATATTAGGAAAACTTTTATTCATGTTATTAAAACAAACATTTCAATTTGAATTTTAAAACTAATTTAATGGGAAGGATGAATTTGATGATTTTTAATAAGTTTGTTAATATCAGGCTCGAATTTACTCAAAAACAGCTGTAAGTCACCGCGTTCAGTAATCCGCAACCGATTTCTCTTTTTAGTTATCAACGTTGCCACAGCACTAAATCCACTTTCACACAAATTGCGGGATTGGCTTTTGTAACCAAAATTCTTGTATCCATTTTTGAATTTTAATGTTATCTCCTCATTCGTTATCCTCTCCAATAGTGTGAGGTTTACCTGTTTGAGCAATTAGCAAGGACATATTGTAGGAAGCTCGGGAGTTCGTCGTCGTCTTGCTTAGAAGCTGCTGAAAAAAGTTTTGACACAGTTGGCTGAGCTGAGTGTTTCTTTTCCAGTTCTTGAAAATAAGTCATACTTTTGTCTTTTTTATCTGAATGCATTTCATTCAAATGAACTTGTAGCCTTGAGGGTTTCATCGCTTCATTCGAAAATGTTTTTTTGAATTTTTTTTTGACTAAGAAGGCACATAGGCAAAGATGGATTTGTGGGATTTTCAATAAATCCATATTTTATATATTCCGAGCTACACTGCCGTTTCTTCTTTTTTGCTTCCAACATAATTGTGTCTTCAAAAATGCCGAAGTAAAGAATCGAGTATTAAAAACTTGCTAATGACACCACTCACTTTGTTCACCACCGCACGTACAGCACTTTACCTAGCTAATCGCTAACTAAATTCACTTGTTTTCATAATATCGTTGAACGATATTACTGGCTGGATGGCGCGCGCGCTTTTATATGAGGCAGCGGGCGGGCCATGTACTTTCGAGAATGTAGACTAGAAACTTCTCGCTTCGCATTGAAGCTTACCGCCATCTATTGTACAGTTTGACAACTATCGGACAGGAAATAGTTACTGATGGCGTTACACGAGAAAACGGGCGTTAAGGTGCGTATTCACAAAAAAAAGCGAACAAGAGTGAACGAGCATTCTGCATCAATAATCGTCTGATGAGTACGGGCTAGGGAGTGAGCGAACGTATGCTTGTTTGCATTCAGAAAAGACCGAGAAGAAGGCGGTACATCAAAAGGTGCTCGCACAAAGTAGATGGATCAACTACGACTGCGAACTTGAAGATATTCGCTCTGGTGTGGACGAGACATCAATATGTCGAGCAAACACGAGCAAATACACGAATGCTCGCTCGTGCTCGCTTTTTTGGTGAATACGTACCTTTAAGCGTACGGTAAAGTTTTGTGTTGAAAGCAAAAAACATTTTTGAATTAGCCATCGCCCCCCTAAACCGCTTCAACGCCCCCAATCTTCTCTGTGCCCTTTACTGCCCCCCTTTAGGCCTCCAGCGCCCACAAAGGGGCGTTATCGCTCACTTTGAGAAAGACTAATCTAGACATATTTTTGAAGAGTTTACTTTCAAACTTAATTACATTCTTCCTTTTTTTTGAAGTTTCCCCCATTTTTTATAAAGTGGAAGCCAAAAAGTTTTCATCCAGAAAATATAATGTTCTGAACAAGAAAAGCTGATTGAAAAAATTAAAAAACAGACTAATTGTAGTTTAGTATTAGTATCAAACGGTTGAATTTTCTACCATATTATATGCTTCTAGAGTAGTTGAAAATATCGTAGCAATTTTTAAATGAGTTAATATAATTCTAGAGTTCTTTTAAACATATTTCTATAAGAACTATAGTTTTATTTAAAATTTCATGGGAGTGAGTTCCCTTTTCAAGCAAATCTGTTTACAATGAATGGAATTGTGCGCTAACTCCGAGCGATTTTTCAAAATATGAAACAAGCGAATTTTTGAGTAGAACATTTTCGTTTCAATCCAATTTGTCTACTTTGTCCCTATTGATTATTCTAAATGAGTTCAAAACAAAATGTAATTCATTGAATACAAAAAGCACATAATTTGTTATTCAACATCATTTTACATAAAAGAAAAAAGTGTAACCTCTACCAATCACCAGAAATGCAATACTTTTCTCAATGCGCGTTTCACCAACTAAATTGTCGTCTTCAGGAGATACTTATTCATTATATTTGAAGAATATCCATTGCTTTTAGCTATGTACCTAATAACATTTTTCTTAATATACTATTTTCCTTTGCTCAAGGGAACATTATGAACCCATAAGCTTGTTACGATGCGATTTTGTGTTGTGTGTGAATTATCAGGAATATATTTAAAGGTATTGGAATTCTTCCTGGTTGAATGAATAGCTTATTGTTATATTTAGAAGTTTACTGTTCTTCCATATGAACCAAGATTCACTTACGGACTAGATCGTACTAATAAAAATTTGAACGAGACAGTAGCACATATATTCGATTTCGAAGACCAGAAAAATTTAGTGTGGCTCGACACGCTTTAGAGAATGGCCATAGAATGAATGAAAACTGCTTGAAATTGTTGAGATCGGCACGTGACAATATATTTTTGAATGCTTTTGAAAGTCTGGAAATAGCAAAGTGTAAAATGAGAACTATGAATAGTGACAAATGTCCCATTCCAGCTCATCGTTCAGCTTTTTATGAAGAGAAAAAATTCCCGCCAATTTGTGTACGCAGAAGTGTACCATGTTAGATATAGAGAACACTTTTAGAGTAAGCAACAATTTTTCTTCATTTCCTGAAGACGCTAACTTGGTTGGTGAAACGTGCGTCTAGAAGAGTATTGCAGTTCTGGTGATTGAGTAAGGATTGGCTTAGGAATAATATTAAAACATAATGAAAACTTCATAAGCGTATGTCAGCAAAGAAGTGTAAATGTTGCATTAATTTATTTATTCAGTATTTTTAGAAAGGTGTAATAATTATGAAAAATATATTTTTTTTGATAGAACACTGAATTTCTTGAAATTTTTTTTTCTTATTTTTCTTCATTTCCCGAAGACGCTAACTTGGTTGGTGAAACGTGCGTCTAGAAGAGTATTGCAGTTCTGGTGATTGAGTAAGGATTTATTATATGACAACGGCTCCAATTTTACCTTTTGAAACTGAAGTTGTGTGATCTGTGAAATGATTTATATTCAATGAAGTCACGTTGTAATCGTACCATCATGGCCATATATCAAAAAAAGGAAAACACCTGTTTTCTCGCCTACTTGATCAAAGTGTGCGTTTCAAAGTCCACATGAATAAACCTATATAAATACCATGTATTTCAAAGATGACTCTAGCAAAACATCAGGTGTACTACATTTTTAAAAATATAATTTTAAGGTCTATTGAAATATACAGGGTGTCTCATTTGGAAAAATTAGTTTTTTTACACCATTGAAAAGATGATAAATGTCGATATGCGGTTTTCACCAATAAGTTTGTCGTAAAATTTGATCCTCAGACACAGCAATCAGTTTTTATCTATCTAGTTTGAAAACAGGAGTTTCTCTTTAAAAGTGTCCAATTAGGCTATTTCTGTAGACTATCTTGACATGATTTTACTAAAAATTTATTAAACGAAAGTAATATTTGTATTGATTCTGTAGACTTGGTTATGGTGAATATCGATATTGGTGCACACAATATACAGACTTGTGATGGCAACCAGTCAGAAAGAATCTTGATTTGAAGAATTTTACAATCATGAAAAATAAAAGGGTTTAGGGGTATTCGAGTGAAAATAGTGTGACATGCAAGTAGCCTTTAAGTGAGCCATTTGACGTCCATAAGGCACTTTTTTTAACATTTTGAAACAATCAAACTCACTGGTGATTTTTCTAATCCTTCCGCTGAGCGCCATAGTAGTGTTGCCCCACATAAATCAATTAGTGTCCCATCTTGAAGAACATTTGTAACTTCCTCTATCTGTAAAAAAACAATCCTAATTTCAAAAATTTCAAATTATGAAACATCTTTCATTCAAGTTAATAAATTTTCCTTCACGATGAGTTAAAAAAAATTATGATATTGTTTTAGACAAAATACATAAATCCTTGATAACAAATTGCTGCATTATGATGGTGTTAAAACACTTCTCAAGATTTCTCATCAATGAATTGAAGTATTACAAAATAAACACTTTAAGAATTACATTATATTCATAGATAAAGTGCAAGAACTTTGGCCTTAACCATTTTATTGAATAAATATGTTTTACCAATGAGTGTAATCGAGATGACTTCATTTATTCAACTATATTCTCAAATTCTGCTTAGACACAATTCATCAATGGGGAAATGTTATCTAGATTTTGATATGAAAGATAATAATATAATTTACTAATTTGTACTCTACGAGCTACAATTTTTTTGCACTTCATAATATTACAGAATATTGGCACAACGAAGAATATATGTATGTTTTGATAACTCTATTTTTTTAAATGACATAAATCAAAACTTACTGATCATTCTATAAGTAACAATATAATCACTGAATCCCTACATTTCCCTTTTTCTATGGGACTGAATCATTAGATTATATTGAGTAAAAGTTTGATAAATATATGGGCTCTCTTTACTATTCTACCAGACCTAGTAAAATTAACGGGCATATTATTACTTGTTGAATTTGATATATCAGAAGGACTTCGATTCTGGTTACATCTATAATCTGCATAACTTGAATTCATTTAATCATAATGGCCCTATTATGCTCAGTAGATTTGCCACTTGAAACCTGGACTTTGTATGTTTTTTCGTAAATTGTACATTTATAGGGAGGAACATAGAAATCTACCATTGAATATAACTTATCATAAAACAGTTCATCAATATATATTCAGTCAGAAGTGAGAAGTTATTGTGGCTGTTGAAGGAAAAGTTCAAATGAGATACATTTTCGTCACATTAAATTTGATGACCAATGAAGGATGACAAGAATCTTCATCTATTATTATTGAGAATCAAATCACTAATCATCAGATTATCAATCATGAACTATAGAAATTTAAAAATATGAAGTTTTTATACCACTTGTCCTCTTTGTTGTGCTGATCGAGACTCCCTCAAAGAAAAAATTCCTCCTCCAACAGATGTCTCTAACCAGTATCCACATTTTGCTTCTCCTCCACAGAAACTCCCTCTCGGGTGCATTATAAGAACACCATTTGTTGTACATCCATCTATTTCCCTTCCATTTTCCTGCCACTTGAGGGATTTCTCCTGTAAAAATATTGTATATTCTTAAAGATTGCAAGAAAGTGGAACCGATAGATATTATTATTGGTGGAAAAAGACCTCCAGTTATGAAATTAACTCTACGTTTCCAGTTATGTAAGTAGCTCTTGAATAAATTGTGCTATGCCCGTTATTCTCATTGTTCTGAAATATTCAAAAAACTTGTTATAGTTAATAGTATCCATTTCTTTCTCAAGATCGATAAATAACGCAATAGTTGGCTGGTTCTTGTCAATCAATCATTCATTTCAGTTACAAATAAATACAGTACAGTAGTCATTTTTAAGTTAAACTAATGTAAGCATATGGCTACATAGACTTTATTAGTAACAAACCTTATTGTGGCCTCGATTTATATGTTTCCCAACACAGTTCTGAGATTCATTCAGAAGTAGTTGTTGGACTTTTCAGATTCACTCAAATAATTTCGATAAATTTGTTATTTATCAGGCATATATTTATGGTGAGTTTTTTGAGGATAATTTATATTGTTCAAAAAAATAAGAAATGAAAATTTCTATGTTTTTTCACACGCTTTATATTAGCTTCACCTGTATGTCTGTATGTATGTTTGTTTGCAACTCTCTTTTTCATTTCATATCGGGATCTGTATTTGACAGAATTATCGACAGTATTGCCTGATCTATTCGCAGGCAGATGGCGCTGTACGTAACCTCCTTAAAATATCGGCATTATTGCTGATCTATTCGCGGTCAGATGGCGCTGTACGTAACCTCATTGATATAGTTCGAACTCACTTTACATATATTTCTTCATTTGAAAAAAGTATTTTTTTATAACACGCGCGCCTGCTACCTTATTTGTAACCCTCCTTTGCGCGTCTGCTGTCTTGGGCTTGGTAGCTGATTTTCAGGCTCCCTCTCCGAAATCGGAAAATATCAATGGTCATTTTGCTAAACAATATACGGCTGATTGACCCCAAAGTTTAGATAAAATAAATATACTTTAAAAAGACAAAAAACACGCTTTTATAGCAGACGAAACTAAAGTATGAAAAATTATTATAGTTCAAAAAACTAAAAACACGCTTTTAAAGAACATGGAACTAAAAAGTTAAAAATATTTTTTTAAAATGAGCTTAATACAAAAACGAACGGAAAGTTCGTTGTTTTAAGCTTATTAACAAAATTTTTTTCAACTTTTTAGTTCGATGTTCTTTAAAAGCGTGTTTTTTAGTTTTTTAAACTATATTTATTCACCACTTCTATTTGCAACTAAAGTTACTGCAGTTTTCTTATAATGACATATTCAAACTTATACAATAACATAGGTACTTAATTCAATTGAGTACCTGAATTGTGTTTACCTGTGACAATGTGGGTATGCTAATTTGAGAACCAGTGAGTAATCTAGATCGATTAGATCATTTAGCAGGTACACCCGCACTGCTTATGCTTATGAATTTTTAAGGATTCCAAATAATTGAGTTTCCAACCCTTGCTTGTATAGTGCAAAATTTCCGTATCTTTTAGATTCGGGAATTTGTGGTTGCATTCCAAGGTATGGTTTGAAAATGTCGAATTATTTTAACATAGTCTGAACCTTTCATGTTCTGCATACCGTTTTGAGAAATTTCCACCATATTGTCCCACATAAACACTATTACACTCCGGACACTTAAGCTTATAAACTCCAGATTTCTCTATTTTCTCCACTTTATCTTTGGCATTGACATATGCCAGTTTATCTAATTTCCCTTTCAATGCCAAAGATGAAGTGAACAAGATGGAGAAATCTGGAGTTTATAAGCTTAAGTGTCCGGAGTGTAACAGTGTTTATGTGGGACAATGTGGTCGAAATGTCTCAAAACGGTATGCTGAACATGAAAGGTCCTTTAGACTAGGTAAAAATGATTCGACGTTTTCAAACCATTCCTTGGAATGCAACCACAAGTTCCCGAATCTAAACTATACGGAAATTTTGAACTTAGCCAAGCAAGGGTTGGAATCACAATTATTTGTAATCCTTGGAAATTCATAAGCATTGCGGGGGTAACCTACTAAATGATCGAATCGATCTATTTTACTCACTGGTTTTCAAATTAGCGTACCCACATTTTCACAGGTAAAGCTATGTTATTACCTACTGTGGAGTTAGATAGTTTTTAGTTCATTGTGTAAGTTTGAAGATGTCCTTATGGGACAAACCTGCAGTAACTTCAGTTACGAATAAAAGTGGTGAAAACATAGAAATATTCATTTCTCATTTTTCATGATGATTTCCTACTATGTAGTAATGACTATATCCATCAATTTATTTTGTACAAGTAAAATGTGTTTTTTTATTTGCTTCTCAGCACTTTCCTACCCTACATGTTTGGTATTTTATATTTTGTCTTATAAAACTCAGTGCATTAAATCAAATCTCAAGTAGTTTTTTTCCCACAATGGTAGTAACAGAACAAAGATACTCAGGTAATTTCACTACATTTTTCAAAAGTATATTGTTGTCCAAATTTCAATAGTGGCATAAAGAAATTAGTTTTTTTTCACACATCGATCCTCAAACGGCACGACAAAATTGCCATTAGAAAGTCGATTATTTCCACTGCAAATGACGTCTGCTCTGAATTTTTTAAATCCTAGACAATTAATTTTCTTTTGTTTAGACAATGGGCGATGGTGAAATACGAGTTGAAATTGTTTATTACTCATACATCATAAAAAGTTTCAAAATTCGTTATTGCTATGTGGTCATTACACTGCCATCGAAAAAAATCTTAGGGAGAAAGCATCGATAATAGTTCCAATCAAATTTTCATTTTCATAAACTACACCTTACGATTTGGTCTCCACAAACTTTATTTGAAAAATATATGGTGATATATTTTCCAGATAAAGTTTGTGGAGATCAAATCGTGAGGTGTAGTTTATAAAATTACTATGGATCTTCATCAAGTAACGACCAAATCAATCAGTAAATTTCAATTGATTATTAAAATTGATGGGTGTGTGTGTGTGTGTGTATATTACTTACGATGTGTATTGGTTACTTACCCCTAAAAAGATATTTCTAGAAGTATCGAAACCTGCGGCATATATCCTAGCTATTTTTGTATTAACTCGATCACATAATATTCTACAGGCAAACCTTGAAATTGTACTTTGGTTCACTTTTGTTTCTCCCATTTTATCGCCTGGTATGGTATCCATTACTACAAAGTCTATAGGTGATTCTGATGACCTACCGATCTGCAATCAAATAAATTGATTGAACGATTTATAAATACAATCGTTCGATGATATATACCTGGAAAGAAACATCAAGCAAATACATTTCCCTCCCCATTTTCCATTAATTTAATAAACATATACAAGTAAGGATGAAAAATAATGGAAATGAATTGTATTGCCATTGAACAAAGTTAAAAAGGATAATGACAACAAATTCATTATTTTCTTTTTCTTTTTTACTCTACAATGTACACATATTTTTGTACGACTTATGTTGAGTTAACATACTCCGAGAAAAAATACTCGAAATTAATACTTCATTAATGACGTATAAGCCCCTAAATTTGGGAATTACCTGAATAATATTGAACAAAAGTCATTTTGTGAAGGAAATCGGAGTTTATTATCGACCTTATTTGAAAATTTTTCATCTTCCATAAATGATGTAAATTCCTCAAAAAAGGTCGATAAAAGAAACTACATACTTACATTAGAAAAGTTTTCACTTAAAATAGCCGTTTTGTTAAATAACATGATCCCCCGGATGGTTTTACATGGCTACAAGGCAGATTAAGCGACGCAGCATATTGAATTTTTTTTTAAAAGAAGTGCCTAAGTAACAAGCGCAATGTACAGTATAGGAATGTCACAGTTCAAATAATCACTTTTTTGTTGAATTAATTTTAATTATCAATATTATTGGGGAGAATGAAAATATCAAAAAAAAAGGAAACTGAACTATGTTCTTTGAAAGTAACAATAATGGGATAATAACTGTCATAAACAATGCAAAAATAATACAGGCCAGATGTTGCTTTCACTATCAACTCTCTGCATAATGAACATTTCTGCTGTTTTTCTGCAAACAAGTATGGAATAATCACGGTTCAATAGAATTGTAATAGTCCAGACAATGTTCACACTGGATTCAAATAAACCAATCGTCAGATTGGTTTATTTGAATTTATTATATATTCACATATTATATATATATATAGGGGACACCTGCATGACCGTCGGTTAGAATTGTAGGATTCATATCCTGAAAATTGGCAAATATGGCTTTTTTAATATGCTTTATTGAATGAAAATCATGGCGTTTTTCCAAAACTTCGGGTTATACTGGAAGTTGAAACCGACTTCCTTCCTTTCAAACAGTTACAGACTTCCTTCCTTTCAAACAGTTACAGACAGTTTATTAGAGCTATTAATTTGCTGTCATGATTTTTATTAAAAACAGGATTTCAGATGGATAAATAAATGACTGATTAAAAATTGTTTATTCTAAATGTTTCATAACAGAGCAAAAATTCAAAAATATTAGGGGGCATCCATAAATTACGTGAGGTGTTTAAGGGGGGGAGGGGGTCGAGTCAAATCTCATCTAATCTAACGTTAGAAAGAGGGGGGGTCCCGGCGAATATCACGCAATTTTTTTTCTGATTGAAACATAAACAATTATACTATTTTGGTCCATTTAATCCAGATTGTACATGCTTAAGATTTAATCTTAAGCGTAATCGTAATACGATTAAGATCATTCACTAATTCTCTTCATCAAATTGATACTCACAGCACGACTGATTTCACTGGCATCTAGAGCGTTGAATGCTTGTGAAACTTTTCTAACCATATTTTCCTTACTTATTGCAAGATCTGCATATACAATATGTTCCCATACATAACAGTCCATAGGAGACAGATCGGGGGAACATGCTTTCAAAAAGTACGGCCCATTATTGGCAATCCATCTATCACAAAATGATTGATCGGGTAATATGGTCAATTATGAGGTACCAAATATTTTCCGCATCTTCAACTGATAAATTATTCACTGCAACTCTCACAACATTTTGTTGTATGTTACACTATCGCTCACCATTCAAATTTACATCCTAAATACTTATACAAATGACAATACCAATAAATCAACAACTACCTTCATTTGTTTCCATAGTATTCCTATTGTATCAAACGATAAAGCACTCATAAATGATAAATAGATAATTTTATCCAATACCCTAGATGTCGATGAAATCAGCCGTGCTGTAAATAACATTTAGATGAAGATAAATGCCTGTGTTTTCAAACAGAATGCTGTGGTCTCCTTCACTGAGTGCGTGTTTTACCACAGCTGACTTGTCCGTTTCACTAAGTCTGCAGTTTCTTTCATGCTCCTTCAGCCTTGTTCCCATGGATCTTTCAGTGATTCCGTTATATAAGTCTCCACAAGTGCACGGTATGCGATAAACTCCTGCTGCCCACACTGGGCCCCTTTTGATTTTAGCCGACCTGAGGCTTTGTCGTGGGCTTCCCGGTGGGTTTGAAAACTGTTGATAGGCGCGTGCAACCATCTGATCCTTCTCCCTGTTTTCAACCGCATAACTCTTCAGTTTCATGGCTTTATTGATCTCGAATACACTGCATCCATTCGATCTCAAAGTCACTTGAAGAAGTTCCAGTTCTTCCTGTAGATGGTCTGGAGGGCACTGCGTACGCTGTCACTGTTTATTTCAAATTGCCCTAACTTTTTTGAAAGTGAACTTTTGGTACTTTTCATGAAAAAACCGAAATCCCACAACTTTTCCAAGTAAAAAAGGTACAGTTTCTCAACAACGCTGGGTATGATCGTTTTCGAGGTATTTACAATTTTCTATATCGATGCATATTAATTACTTAGCTCCTAGGGCTCTAATATTACAAAAACTAAATATGTGGTGGATCTCGTCAAAATTAACAACTTTTAATTATAAAATGTTTATCAAAAAATCATTTGTTTTCGATATACAAATAACTAAAATTGCAAAAAACAAAAACAACCATGTTTTGAAAAATTTCAACAATTTGTATCTGGAAAACGAATGATTTTTTGGTAAACAATTTATGAGAAAAAGTTGTTTATTTTGACGAGATCCACCCACATACTTAGTTTTTGTAATGTTCTCAGCAACTTCACTTAGCGCCCTAGGAGCTAAGTAATACGCCTCGATATAGATAATTGTAAATATATCGAAAACGATCACGTCCAGCGTTGTTTGATAAGTGTACCTTTTTTACTTGGAAAAGGTGTGGAAATTAGGTGTTTCCATGGAAAGTACCAAAAGCTTACTATAAAAAAAGTTAGCGCTATTTGAAATAAATAGATGTTACATGAAAATTGATACGAAATTATGATTTCCCACGTCAAAAAAATCCCGGGTACCAAATTTCGTGCAATTAACTCATTTTTTTGCAAAAGATTCAATTTCAACACCCTGTATCTCCAGAACGCAGCATTTCCGGACAAAAGTTTATATAAACTTTTTTTCTTAAAATTGTCTCAGGAATACGTCACTTGAATATTTTAACGTAATTATGTTACACCCTGTGTATCGGAACCAACAAAAGATCCATGGGAACAAGGCTAAAGGAGCATGAAAAAAACTGCAAGCTAGGTCAAGTCGACTGTGGCAGAACACGCACTCAGTGAAGGAAACTACAGGATTCTGTTTGAAACCACATTGCCCCCAACGAGAGATATCATAGCTGACTGGTACGAGGCGCAATAGAGATTCACAAACACACGTATAATTTCAACGGAAAAGAAGAAGCAGTGAACCTCAATCGAATATGGAATCCCATTCTAAGAAGTTCAAGGATAGCAAACAACATGACGGCAGGTAGAAAAGGGTCAATGAATGTTACTGACAAATTACCTAATCCAGGTATTAGCACTCCTGACACACCTGACACAGCGTAAATACGCCTTACGAAACCGCAATATTCAGTCATCGGATATTGACCCAGAATGTATAAACCTCTGAAGAAGCTAGCCACTCGCGCCAGCGAAACGTCAATTTCAAAAATCCATCTGGGAGTTTCAAAACTATCCTAAAATGGTGTTCCATTAAAGAAAAAAGTGAGTTTTATACAATTTTTAAATCTTCAGAATTAGTCATCGAGTCCGAACATTTTGTATAACATTTTAGAAATGTTACTCCTGCAAGACCATGGAATGAAGTATTTGGATGAATGAATAATAGTTTTCTTTTGTATTATATCAAACTTTTGAATTTTATGGGGCAATCACTCGGGAGCCGAATATGTTTTTTTGGGCGAACAAATATCTCGAGAACGGTTCATTTTTGGTATAGGGTGTAATACATAATCTCACATTAGAATTATGCTAAGTATTCAAAAATGTGAAAATTTACACAGTGTTACATTTGAATTATGGAAGTGGATACCGACTTTCGGTATAATCGGAAGTGTTGGAAAAATGCCATTAGTTTCAATCGATAAAGCATATTAAGAAAACCTATATTTGCAAATTTTTAGGTTATTAATTGTATTATTTCCCAAAATACGGTCATCGCGCTGTAGCCTGTATATTATTAGATAAATATTTATTTTGTGTTATGTTGACACTATCAAGGGCTTATGATAAAAATGTCAATACAACTAGAAACAACCCAAAGTGTACCAATAATACAGGAATTTAAAAGATGATAAAAAAATGATAGTCGTGATACGAGTAATACTAGAATTGTAAAGTTTAGACATTTATAATAACTAAATAACGGTTTTTAATAGTAATCTAGTTAAATTTCAATTGAGAAATATTTTTTTATGGTTCTTAGTTTTAACAAATGAATATAGACTATTTAGAAAACATCTCTTCTGTATTATAAAGATTATTTATAAAAAATCAAAATAGTTGCGTTACAAAGAACAATATATTCATTAAAAAAAGTGCTGTTGATAAGAAAACGTTTTTAGAAATTTTTTGCGACTGCTAATAATAATAATCATGATTCAACGAAACTACTCACCTTGTAGATAGAAAACTAGTCCAAATTACTACTATTATACTATTAACTGCCATATTTTAAACAATAAAACTAAAGTAAATTGAATCGACAACTCAGCGTTTTAACAGTAAAGTCATAGCCGGTAAAAAAATCAACAAACTATACAACACTAACTTCTTCAAATATTTTTGATATTCGTTAATATTTTCTAAATCATTAGTAAAACTACTAAAACTACAGCCTCAGGAATAGATGATATACACGGTAAATCTCTTAAAAGTGTCAATGACATAATTTGTCAACCTCTATCATTTATTGTAAATAAATGTTTATGTGACGGTATATACCCAGAATCACTGAAAACATCAAAGTCTATACCCATATAAAACAAGGGCTCCAAAAATGATGTAACCAACTATAGAAATATCTGTTTGCAATCGCAAATTGCCAAAGTTATCGACGATGCCTATTATTTGCCATATATGCCTATTACTTCGTAAATTTGTTGAACACTATAAACTCATACCAGAATGTCAACATGGTTTTAGACAGAAAAAATCAACATCATCTGCCATATTCGAAATGTGTGACAACATCTACAAAAACCTTATTGATAAAAAAATTCCAATTGGTTTATTATTTGATCTATCCCGTGCATTCGATACAGTTGACCACAGTTTATTACTTGAGAAACTGTATAGAATGGGAATAAGAGGAGTAGCCAATGAATGGGTAGCATCATATTTATGTCACAGGTGGCAAATAGAGGTAATAGATGAAATAAAATCACAACCAGCTTCTCCACAAAAAACAATAATATATGCTGATGATACCTATCAAATAGTAGCAGAAAATGAACTTATCCTCTCTGTTCAAGCTGCAAATAAAACTGCTGATAAATTTTCACAATAGTGCACAAATAAAGGTCTACTTGTTAATATAAATAAAACTGTTTTCATGAATTATCAACAAAATAATCTTACTTATGATCATTGTTCACTTATAAAAATACATCACAAATCTATATAGCAGGTGAATCAATATAAGTATCTAGGATTAGTAACTTGGCGAAAACATACAGATTATCTAATAACAAAACTGAGTAGAGTCTGCTGCATAATAAGACAACTACATGGAACAGTATCTCTAGAAGTACCCAAATTGGCCTATTTTGAATTAGTATAATCTAATATCTCAAATGGGTTAATATTCTGGGTAAACTCAGCATACCTTACAAAAGTGTTTGTTATTAAAAAAAATAATAATTAAATGTACCGCTGGCATACATTATAGACAATCATGCAAGACAGTTTTTAAAGATCTAGCTATTTTAACAATACCGTCTTTATATATTTTGCTCATAACTATGAATATCAAAAGAAACCATACAAAAAACAGTATGATACATGATCACAATACTTACAGAGGAAATGAAACTGAGAATACCTTACTCACGATTAGCCCTTGGGCAAGACTCGGCAAGCTATCAAGGAGTCATGAATTTTTAGATTTGAATGTATAAGCTGCTTTTTCTTCAGTTTGTGTGACTAGTCTGATAAATATTGATGTTATATGTGTATGATATTTTAATGATGAATAAATTCTATTCCATTCTATGGTGAGTTCTAGAGCTTTTTCCACCAATATCAAAATTTCAAACTAATTTAATATACTTTCTGTAGAGAAGAAGAAACTAGTCATTTGAATATGCAACACTTCCTACCTGAAACATGTCAGTGTCCTCATCATTCGTATATTCTACTATAACAGCTTGATTTCTAGAAAGGGTATATGATATCGAATGTTGATTGGCATCTAAGATGGCGTGCGTCGAATGAGGCGTTTTAACTACATAATGCCTTAACCTTTTGACGCCGTTGGCTACTGCTCGTTTGCAGAATACAAATTTGCTTCGTCTTCTTCCTCTGTCTCCTTGTGGCAGAAATCCATTATATCTGAAATGAGAAAAAAACAATCAAAATATAAACTCTCACCATGTCATAATTATCTATTGCATGACATTTCAGTCAGTAAAACGTTTTATTCACGTTATTTTTATTTTCATTAATGTTTATAACTTTTTGCGGTCACCATTGACTCATCAATTATACATTAGACTCTAATAAGCAGCAACTACTGCTAATTTACTTTTAAAAGTTGTAGCATTTAGGAAAAACTGAAGGCAAGAGTGATGTATTTATAAGTTCTGAAGTAGCGCCACTTGATAATCTAAATTATTTTCTGGTTGGATTTTCTAGTCTGGATTTTCAGGCACAGTCCGTAACATTCAGTTTATTCCATTGCGAGTAACTCATGTTCTGAATTCTGCAATGTTTATGTTCAACTGCTTCTTTATCTGATCTGTAAGTAATCACGGATACGTAAGTTCGTGGACTTTCTCCTTATTCTCTGGTTTACTCAAAAAACTCGTGAGCAAACCAGACAAATGGTCCCTTTGATGAGTTCTGAGTGGTTGGTTTCTTCTGACTTTTTCTCATCTCATCCATGGTTCCTAGGGCCGGTTCTTCAGACTCCGTCCGATCTTACAAGTTGTTATGAGTTCTAGCCATGTTATTATGCTCGAGTTAGTCGTCTGTTCACTTGTTCATTAAATTTTCTATCAGCTTGTTCACTATCCTGTTGCTTTAGTAGTTTCAGCAATATCTTATNAGCAAAAGATTACAATAGGAGATGACGAATTCAACGATGGAAATAAAAACGATACTGCTAGTGCTGAGTATTCACTGATTTTTAGTTCATTTTCAGTTTGTAAGATGTTTAGATTAATAAATTCAAGGAAAGGTTTTCTTGTTAACTTATTTTTATTCATAATTAATAAAATAATCCTTCGTCGCCTTGAGAAGAATCCCGTTGTTGATAAAAAGTTGAAAATCTCTTACTTTCCTTAGTTACCAACTCACAATTTTCATTACTTCAAATTTTCAATATCACAAAAACTATCTATTCTATGATTTTCATATTTGTTCCTAAATTTAAATACATCTTTACTTAACAATTATGTACAGAAATGGTTAACCTCACTTAGGTCTAAATATCAAAATTCTTCAAAAGCATCACTTGATGTCCGTATCTAAGGAAATGGTTTACAACAATAATATTCGAATTTTTCATCATTCCTAAATATTTACAATAAGTTTATTATGTCTTTTCCAGACATCATTTTGCTTTCATCTAACATTTATTTACAACCTATATAGGTTGTCTGTTTTTTGAAAATTAATGAAATTTGGTACACAAACCTTGAAATTTGAATTTCCCACTCTTTCGTATTTGTTTTCCGTCAAGTCTGTGGATTTCAATACATGTACAGGGTGACCTCGCTGTACTTCTGTATCTGAATTTTTCTGTGATATTGTGAATATCTCTACACATTGTTGTTTTTGAGTCTTTTAATAACAAATATATAATAGTGTCATTTCTTTTCGAGTTTGAAAGCCGTGAATTTTTGGAATTTCTTCCTGACGTTTCGCTGGCGCGAGTGGCTAGCTTCTTCAGAGGTTTAACCATCATGGCTTGCTGTCCGATGACAGCAAGCCATGTTAAATTCCTCACCGGTGATTCATTGCTGATTCATGTGTTCTCAAAATAAATAGAAGCCTTCCGTTGATTGGCAGCGTCGACTAGTACTAGTACTTGGAAGAAAATCATATCTTCTATTCAAAAACAAATACATGAGGTTGATGACACAGTTTTTATGCTTCTTTTTGCAATGAGGTGTTACCACGTATTGCTTTCTCTTGAAAATAAATACAATACAAATAGATCAAGTTCTCTGATAAGTTGCTAGGAAAAAAAAAGAAACCATGTTTTGTGAAAACCCCTTTCTTTTGGTCTCTATTTTCACATTATATACCAAGTATATTTTGTATTTATATCAGAGATCTTAAAATTTCAGCTTCACAGGACATGTTGATGATTTTCTTAATTACGTATGGCCCTGTCCAAATACAAAATCAGTACCGATAATCTAAATGATACCCGAAGAAATGGCTAAAGGCGGAGAATGCTTGAGAAACTTCTATCTGGTTTATTTAAGTTTGACGGAAGCGCCAGTAGGTATATCATTTTAATTCAAACACGGAAAGGAATTAGAGACTGTATATATAGAGTTTACCCCTACCGAACAAAAAATAAAAATCCCTGTGAGTTGAAACAGTTTCATTCTTGAGATATCTTCTGTCTTTGAAAAGTTAAGGATGAAAAAAAAAAGCATCGACGAATTCTTCGAAAAAATTTGTTTTACATGTTGAAAGGAAAATAACTTCAGTTTCGGAAAATGAAGTCGAGTGAATCGTAGGCATCAGTGTGAAAGAAGCCACGGGAATCAGCTGCTGTGACATAAAGAGACGTAATGATTTTCAAATAGCTAAAACTCAAGAATATCAGGTATTCACAGAAAATGATATATGGAATGAACATTGAGGATACTTCTATACGGTGCATCTACCATCTCTTTCCTATCCTACACTGAATACAGGGCGAGTCACTTGTAACTGGACTCCCTACAACAATCTGTAGATCACTAGCAGACATTATGAGGAAATGAACTAGATGTAGGTACTACGTTCCTTCGCACAGGCAATTTGGCGGGATTTTTCAATTTGGGGCGTATTTCAAAACTTATTTGCATTTAAAATTCTTTCGTTGGCCACATTATGGCCCGCGGGCCTGGGGTTGAGCCATTATGGTCCGCGGGCCTGGGGTTGAGCACCTTTGAACTAGACTGCTAGGCAGTTTTTTTAGCTGATACCAGTATTGCTATCTCTGAAATGATAGGTCCTACAAGAACGATTAAATTGAACAAAAGTTGCCTTTTTAGTGATGCAACGGTATTCTCAGATCGATAAAATCACCAACCGTTTCAGAGATATTTGCAAAAAACTGAACTTGACAGATTATAAAGTTTTGCTCTATATCAAAAAAAGACAGGAACTTTTTGCTTCGTTTCATGTTTCTTATAATCTGGCCAAACCCATTTTCCAATGCGACTTTTCGTTCATCATAATCCATCATCGATGTTCATACCCATCTATTTAGCGAGGGATGCAGAAACCCTTGCGAGATGATCGACCATCAACACTTCAAAATCGACCCTTCAGCAGGCAAGAGCTCAGACATTGTTTTACAATTGAGAATATTATTTTTGCTATACGACATTTTGTATCATTATATACGTTAGAAAACCAGTATCACAGTTTAAAAAATTGTTACAAAAATACAGGTCAGCATTTAAAATTTCAAAGTTTATGGTAGCAATATATCTGGATATAAAAAATATATTGAAATGGAACTGGCCGATACTTGATGAATATCCATATCAAAACTTACGGATCCGATATGGAGATGATATGTTTGGCGATTTTTGACAAAAAAATAAGGTAGAGGAGTTACCATTCCTAAATGTCTTGGTGATTAGAAGTAATTCTATGTCCATTGGAAGAATACCACTACTTTCAACTTATATTCCTAATAGATCACATCAATGTCTACAATAAAAAATGTCAAGACTAAATTTATTTGTCCATAGCTATTTTACGTTCCTCTGAAGTAAAGGAAGATACGATTTTGAGAAAAATGTTATGAGGGTCATATGAGTAGCTAATGGCAACTTGTATCCTTCAAATATAGTAGATAAATTAATCAGGAAACCCAATTTTAGGGAAGAATCTTCGATTATTATTTCTTCGACATTATTTCAAATTCCACTGTTCTTTCGAATGAACCAAGATACACTAACGGATAACATCGAATTCTCAAAAAGTTCAAATGTAGTCTTCAAAACTTCTCACTTCAACAAATATTTGGTAACCCTTAAGATAATAAGCGATCTATTGGAACTAGTTTCAAAGAACACGTAGCACATATCCGATTTCGGAGACCAACAGAAAACTATTGTCGCTCAAAACGCTTTGGATAAGGGCCATTGAATAAATGGAAACAGTCAGGAATTGTTAAGATCGGTACATGACACTAAATTTTTTGATTGCTTTCGAAAGTCAGGAAACAGAATAGTGTGGCATGAGAACTATGAACAGTGACAAAAATCTCATTCCACATCTAGTGTTTATCTTCATAGGAATCGCTTCGTCAAAATTAGCGGGAACTCTTACGAGAAACCTTCCGCGAATTTCTACCCGAAATGTTAGATATAAATAGAGATTGTGGAAGGTAACAAATTCCCAAAAAAGGTCGATAAAAAACGGATTTTTCCCCCACAAAAATGACTTTTCGTGGAATAAATAGAGACTAGTTCAAGAGTTAGGAATCAATGTAATTCATCTCTTGAAGACGCCAAATTGGTTGGTGCGTCGAGAATAGTGTTGCAGTTCTGGTGTTTGGAAATAGTACTTGTTTTAGATCTACTCTAGATTTATTTTAATTTTCACTATAGAATATTTTCAAAACCGCGTTATGACCGTATAAGAGGTTCACAACTCCTGCTTGAGAAGCTATTGTATAGCAAAACACATGTAGCGGTTTTGAAAATCATAATAAATCTTATTAAGTTCTGTATAGTAATGGAGAAACAAATCCAAAATGATGTTTGTCTAATTCAGTTCAGTTTTGATTTTTTTCATAGACAAAATACGAGTTATGATACGAGTTACCGACTAAGCAGAATTTGTTAATGAATATTATTTCTGGGAAAGAAAGTTTTTGGCTTTCTACTACTCCATCTCGATACAATGGAGATGGATTAGTAGAAAGCCAAAAACTTTCTTTCCCAAAAATCAATCACTCCTAAAAATATAACCCCTTCAATTCAAATATTATTTCTCTTTCGACTTATAATACTCAAATTAATTTCAAGCCAATCAACAATTCACAAAAAAGTATTGGGCATAACTTGTTTAGAAGTAACGAGATATGCGAGTACCTACATTGTTTATTTTCTTCTTATTTCTTTCTGTGATAATTGTCTTTGTCTTATATT